GCAGTGCGGACATCCCATATGGGCGCCGGCTTGAGTCCCGGCTGCTCCACTTCCTATCTGGCTCTCTGCTATGGCCTAGGAAAGCAGTAGAAGATGGCCCAAGGACCCTGCACCCATGTGAGAGATCCACTAGAAATTCCTGGCTCCTGGCTTCAGATTGGTGCAGCTCCCCCTATTGTAGTCATCTGGGGAGAGGAAGGGGGAATGGGGATGGAAGTCTCTCTCTCTCTCTCTCTCTCTAACTCTGCCTCTCAAATAAATAAATCAATATTTAAAAAACAGTCCTCTCCTGTATTTCTTGAGACACACAACACATTATCATTTTTTTTTTTTTTGGACAGGCAGAGTGGACAGTGAGAGGGAGAGACAGAGAGAAAGGTCTTCCTTCGCCATTGGTTCAGCCATTCGCCATTGCTGCAGCCAGCGCACCACGCTGATCCGATGGCAGGAGCCAGGTACTTCTCCTGGTCTCCCATGGGGTGCAGGGCCCAAGCACTTGGGCCATCCTCCACTGCACTCCCTGGCCACAGCAGAGAGCTGGCCTGGAAGAGGGGCAACCGGGACAGAATCCGGCGCCCTGACTGGGACTAGAACCCGGTGTGCTGGCGCCACAAGGTGGAGGATTAGCCTAGTGAGCCGCGGCGCTGGCTCATTATTTTTTTAAACACTTTATTTATTTATTTGAAAGGTGGCGTTACAGACAGACAAAGGGAGATATATAGAGAAAAGTCTTTATCCATTGGTTCAATCCAAGAGGTGGAACTGGGTCATTCTGAAGCCAGGATCCAGGAGTTTCTTCTGGGTTTCCCATGTGTGTGCAGGGGCCCAACCACTTGGGCCATCTTCTACTGCTTTCCCAGGCCACAGCAGAGAGCTGGATTGGAAGAGGAATAGCTGGGACTTGAATTGGTGCCCATATGAGACACTGGTGCTGTGGGTAGAGGCTTAGCCTACTATGCCACAGTGCCAGCTCCTATCATTACTTAAATAAAAGAATTATCTGGGGCCGGTGCCATGGCTCACTTGGCTAATCCTCCGCCTGCAGCGCTGGAATCCCATATGGGCTCCACGTTCTAGTCCTGGCTGCTTCTCTTCCAGTCCAGTTCTCTGCTGTGGCCCGGGAGGACAGTGGAGGATGGCCCAGGTGCTTGGGCCCTGCACCCATGTGGGAGACCAGGAGGAGGCACCTGCCTCCTGGCTTCAGATTGGTGCAGTGTGCCGGCCATAGCAGCCATTTGGGGGGTGAACCAGCAGAAGGAAGACCTTTGTCTCTGTCTCTCACTGTCTAACTCTGCCTGTCAAAAAAAAAAAAAACAGAATTATTTTATTTATTTGAAAGGCAGAGTTAGAGAGGACAGAGGAGAGAGAGAGAGAGATCTTCCATCTGCTGGTTCACTCCTCAAATGGCCACAACAGCTGGGGCTGGGCCAGGCTGAAGTCAGGAACTGCATCTGGGTCTCTCACGTGAGTGCAGGGGCCCAAGCATGAGGGCCATTTTCTGCGACTTCTCCAGGCACATTTGCAGGGAGCCGGATCAGAAGTGGGGCAGCCAGGACTTGAACCAGTGTCCATATGTGATGCTTGCTTCACAGGCTTAACCCTCTGTGGCATAGCACCAGCCCCATACACATTATTATTGACCATAGATGCCTTAGAGAATAGAACAGCAGAACTCACACAGCCCGCTGAACAGCCTTTGTACTCAGGGACTGACCTCATCCCATTCCCCTCTTTTCCCCGTCCTCAGCAGCTGGCAACTTTTTCCTGAAGCTCTGTAGAAAACCCAGGGGCAGGCGATTCCTGTCTCGTTGTGATGCACTCCTTTGGCTTTGGCTCCTGCATGGTAGCCTCTGTTCTGATCACTTCCAACTCCTCATGGAGAAGCCAGATACTTGCCTTAGTCAGAATCTTACACTGCAGAGTATACGGAGCAAGGGGCTTCTCTATCCCCTCACGTCCCCTTGTGTGGCTGCTATCCCTATTCTTTCCTAATGCGGAAAGGTTTTCTCTACAGAGTTGGTCCAAGTTCACCTGACTTCTTGACCTCCGAATTCCTTGACTCCCATGGTTCCAAACAAACAAACAAATAATGACGAAAGAGCCCTGATTGGCTCAGCGTAGATCACATGATCCCCTCTTGCCCAGTCACTGGAGAAGAGGGAGGTCTTGTGATTGGACCGATTTGCATCACAGGCTCCCTTCCATGGCCATTGAGGTGAGTTACTGTAGCATTTGGGACCTTACTATTCGGGTTCATTTTATTTTAGTTTTTTATAAAGGTAAACAAGTTTCATGCGATTCACATAAACAGATTTAGGAACATAGTGATACTCCTACCTTACCCTTTCTCCCCCCTTGCCCACTCCCTCTCTCAGTTTTTACAATGAGCTACCCTTAGCTTACTTTATACTCATCAGATTAACCCTACACTAAGTAAAGTTCAACAAATAGTAAGAAGGAAAATGTCCTGTTTCTCAATAGTAGAGACAAGGGCTATAAAAAATCATTGAATTTCAAAATGACTCACCTGCCTTTCGAATTCATAGCTCCTACATCTCTGAAAGCATCTCCAGCTACTGTAGATCTGTTTGGTTCTATACAGGGAGGGCTGCAAGTTCTGAGAAATTAATGTCTCATAGAAGTAGCCCTCAATCAGTGAATGCTGAGGGTTGGTGTATAAATATGAAGGGACTGCCTCCCCCCGACCAGGGCGACCTGGTTTCCAGGCGTGCATTTGGTACCATTCATCCCGTCTCCAGAGTGGGTTTGAGCTCCAGCTCAGCACTGTAATGCTAAGTTTTATTTTCTGCTTTCCTGGTCTGTCTCACGCCTTGAGCCTTTTGCGACAGAAGAGTGAGATGACTTCCCAAGTATGCTTGCTTGTGAGTTTTTGTCTTGTTGACTTCTGGGGAAACCAAAACTGGGATAATTGCCCTGAGTGTCAGCTCATGGCATGAGTCCAGTGGGATGGAAGGGGGCTGGTGCTGGACCTAGTGGATAAGAAACCCACGACCTGAGTCTGGCTCCTGCCTCCAGCTTCCTGCTAACGCAGACCCTGGCAGGCAGTTGTGATGGCTCCAGTCGTTGGGTTTCTGCCTCCCACGTGGGAGACCTGGATTGACTTTCGGGCTCCCTGCATTGGCCTCCCTGTAGCCTTGACCGTTGTGGGCATTTGGAGAGTGAACCAGCAGATGAGAGCTCTGTCTCAGTCTCTCGTATAAATAAAAACAAAAACCAAACCACAGGAAATTGAAGTGGTACACCAATGAAGTAGTGGTTCTGAATACACAAAGTCAATATCCGTTAAAATATATCATCCAGCCGGTGCCGCGGCTCAATAGGCTAATCCTCTGCCTGCAGCGCAGGCACACTGGGTTCTAGTCCCAGTTGGGGTGCCGGATTCTGTCCCAGTTGCGCCTCTTCCAGGCCAGCTCTCTGCTGTGGCCAGGGAGTGCAGTGGAGGATGGCCCAAGTCCTTGGGCCCTGCACCAGCATGGGAGACCAGGAGAAGCACCTGGCTCCTGCCATCAGATCAGCACGGTGTGCCAGCCGCGGCGGCCATTGGAGGGTGAACCAATGGCAAAGGAAGACCTTTCTCTCTGTCTCTCTCTCTCTCACTATCTACTCTGCCTGTCAAAAAATAAAATAAAAAATAAAATAAAAATAAATATATCATCCCAAGCAAACGCACGTACATGGAGTCTTGAAGAACAGTGAGGACTTACAGGAAAGCCATCCTGCTGGCCTGGCTGTTGTCCCTGTCCACCCTTCCTGTGGCTCTCAGGATGGCGATGGGAGCACTTTCCAAGCTCCCCTGGAGCCTGCAAGTCTCTCCATTGCACTCGGATACAGCACTGCACTTTGCTTACCATGTATTCTGTGCCCACGTGGGGCTGCAGGCCTGGGCTTGCCTTCAGGTCCTGGTCATGCCGGCGTCTCTCCAGCTTCAAGGCTTTTGCCTGCACGGTCCCCCGCCTGGAGCATGCTCTCTGGAGTCTTCTGCCTTCCACGTACTTAACATACTTTGTGTTCTTCCTCTCAATCCCATCTCAGAGAAACCTTGAACCAGTCTCCCTGTGGGTCCCATTCCCCCTAAGGAACCCATATTCAGTATGTATGTCTATATATAAATATTTTTCTGTCATAGCCATACCATAGCTCACAAAAGTATCTGCAGGTTTTCTCTTGTTTAAGAAAAATGCTATATTATTAGTATTGCTTTGAAGTTTGCTTCCTTCACTTAATATAAACCACATGAAACTCTCCAGCTTGATTGATATTATAGAATTAACTCATTTTAATGTGTTTTTTCCTGACCGTTGCCTAATATTCTATCCAACGTATGTGCAGTAATCGATTGAGGTGTTCCCACATTGGTGGCAGCTCAGATTGTTGCTATGTGCATGTTTTGTTTTACAAACCACAGTGCAAAAAATATCTCTGAACAAATGTCCTTGCATTCTGATGCCTGTATTTCTGTAGAATCAGTCCCTGCAGGTGGTGTTACTTGTTCAACACACACACATACTTTCAATTTTTATACACAGGGCCAGATTCGTTGCTGATGAGATAGCAAACCCCTCTGTCTGCCAGCAGCTCGCGAGGCCTTCTGGATCCCAATATTGGTGTTCCACCGTCATCTTTGTGTTTGACAGTCTCTTGGTGAAAGATAAATTCTCCTTGTTCTTCTGCTTTGAATTCCCTTGACTGTTACTGAGATTGAGCATCTATTTCTACCAACAGTATTTTGGTAACAAAAATAACCCCTACAGTGCTGTATCTGAGTGCGTTCACTTAGGGCAGGTGGAGATGTTCTGAGCACATGCTTTGCTCTGCGGGGTCTCAGTGGCTCTCCCGTGAACGTCGTGGACTCACTTGTTCCCCAGGTGTCTGCACACACTCTGCTATGCTGGGGGAGAGTTGTGGTCTCCAGGAACGTGGGTATGGTGGGGTTAGGGGCTGTGCCCTGTCCCTGACTCTCTTTCTTTCTCTCCTTCCAGACACCACGCAGATGAACAACGCCGTGCCCACCTCCCCTCTGCTCCAGCAGATGGGCCACCCGCATTCGTACCCCAACCTGGGACAGATCTCCAATCCCTACGAGCAGCAGCCACCAGGCAAAGAGCTCAACAAGTACGCCTCCTTAAAGGCAGTCGGTAAGGGCCTCCGGGATGGACCCCCGTGTTCTCTCCCCAATCCCTGCGCTCCTTTTTGCTTCTTTGAGCTCTCTCTCTTTCCAGGGTTCTTCCTGGTCTCTTCTCTTTTCTGTCTCTCTTACTTTGTCTTCCTTTTTCTTTTCCTCTCTCCCTCTCCCTTCTCTCTCTTCTCCTGGGTATCTCAGCCCCTTAGCTGCCTTTTCTGACCCAGATCAAATTGTTTTAGGGTAGGATAAGCAGTACCTGTGGGGTGTGAGCTGCTTCCTGGGGAGGAGGACCTGGGTGCTTCCGTGGTTCCAGACACTGTGACCCCTGTATCCTGCCCTAGTGAATCCTAAGGGGCATAGAAACGAGGTCCCTGTCTCAGGCACACGAGATCCTTTAGTGAGTTCCCTTCTTCCTACATGGTCTGTCCTAGTCGGGAGAAGCCGTCAGAGAGCACCCACTCCTGCCCAGGTGGACTCTGCCCTTTGGAGTGCATCATTTCCTGGGGAAGGCAGCCTAGAGCTACCACACAGTGCATGACGTTGCTTTAGACCCTTTCTTTACAAGGCACAGTTGTCATCCCAGCTGCCAGATTCTGAAACTGACGCTCACGGGGGCTCATTTAATTTGCTTCAACGCAATCAGCACGGCCGAGGAAGCTGGGAACTGACCTGTGTTGTCATCACTCCAGAACCCAAGCTCCCAACACTGCCATTGCCCTTTGGTCCCTTCCCCATTCATGCATGAGGATGGCTGTGACTGGGCCCCGATGGTGGCCAAGACTCTTGAACGATCGGCCACTGGTTGCAATCAACCGACATGCCACAGTTAGCGAGTCCCGATTCTTGGTTGGCGGTGGCACCCTCAGGTTCTCCTAAGCCAGCTGTCTGACACGTGGATGCATGTTTATACAGCCACCCAGAAAGCAGGGAAACACACCTACATCCAGTTCCCACCCTAGGGAATTTGGTTGAACTGGCTGGGGCTGAGGTTCAGACTTGGCCATTTTTTTTTTCCTTTTTTGACAGGCAGAGTGGACAGTGAGAGAGACAGAGAGAAAGGTCTTCCTTTGCCGTTGGTCCACCCTCCAATGGCCGCCGCGGCCGGCGCACCGCGCTGATCCGATGGCAGGAGCCAGGTGCTTCTCCTGGTCTCCCATGGGGTGTAGGGCCCAAGCACTTGGGCCATCCTCCACTGCACTCCCTGGCCACAGCAGAGAGCTGGCCTGGAAGAGGGGCAACCGGGACAGAATCCGGCGCCCCAACCAGGACTAGAACCTAGTGTGCTGGTGCCACAAGGCTGAGGATTAGTCTGTTGAGCCGCAGCACTGGCCCAGACTTGGCCATTTTTAAGCAGCTTTCTATGACGTCTCCGGCTGAAGCCAGAACTGAGCGCCATTGATCTAAGCAGCAGCCCAGTATCCAGGAAAACCAAATCCCATCTTCAGTGCTTGCTCTCGGCTTTCTCTTCTAAGTTCCTCCCTGGCTCTCTACCATCTCGTGTCTTTTGAACAGGGTGGACTTCCTCTTGCCGCGTGACCATGTCCTTGGAGTTCCGTTTTTCCTCCCTGTCTCAAAGGAGAAATTGTCTACCAGTGTCTCCACTGAACCCTCCCTTCCCCTGAGTTTATGACTTGGGCATCTAGGAGAAGCCAGACAGTTTTAGGGTCAAATCCTGGCCCTAATCTTTCCTCTCTGTCACAGAGTTCACTCTGGGTGAGAGTCTGTTTTATTGGAAGAAGTTCTCTCTTTTTTTTAAGCTATGTGTCAGGCATTTATTTATTCCTAGATGATAACAGTTTCTGGAAAACTGGAACAAGCAGAGAACGGCAGAGATTTTTCTCTTATCAACTTCGGGGCAACACTGAGCCCTTCTGTAGGCCTCAGTCTTCCAATCTGTAAAATGGGCATAAAGTGCCTGTGCGGCTACAATGAGATGACTCCTATTGTGGACCACTAGAGAATATCCCTCGCATGTATGCTAGTCACCTCCCTTCCTGAGCGTCCCACTGTCTTTTTACCTCCTGAGTTCCCTCTCATAACCTACTCAGATCTCTGGGGAGGATCTTCTTAAATGTCTTTAAAAATTCTCTGCTCAGATCGACTCTCGGGAGTCCCAGAATAATGCAACAATTCTCTTTGGGTGAGCTTCCAATTCACTGGGAAAGATCCTTCTGTTCTTGGACCATGCATACAATTTATTTATTTATTCCCACTTTGGGTTCCTGGAAAACCCTGGATGGAGGACCTCAAAGATTTTCTTTAATTATCAACATCTCAACCTCTTTCCTTCCCCTGCTTTCAAATCCCTCATTAGAGATGAGATGGGAGGTGGCTGATTTGATTCCAGCATGAAATATCCCACTTCCGCTAGAAACCGACATCAGATTCCAAAGCATAGACACAGTCACGCGTCTAGCATGCTGGTGGCAACTGCAGCTTACAAGCCTCAGGTTCACAAACAAGCATGGTGGCTCCTCACGGAGGGCCAGGTGCATGCTGGGTGGTTAGTGTTTGTGCCACAGAGGTCTGTCTTTGGGGATTCACATTCCCCAATCTCCTAGGACTTCTAGATGCAATTGCTGAAAGATTGAGCCAAACTTACGTGCCCAAAGAAGCAGGTTGTACAGACTGGCAATGCAAGAGCGTGCTTCATGTTGAATTCCTGTGCCCACTGGAAGCCTCGCTGTACACCCTCCCCCAACCATGGCTTCCTTCTTTCCATGCTGAGTGTTTGTACAGCATTTTGAAATATATTCAGGCTTTCCAGAGAGGGCTGAGGGCTGCTGCCTAGGAGAGCAGGTGCACAGGCATCTTTGCTGCTATAACTGGTATAACATATCGTCTCCTGTCTGGGCTTGCAGGGAGGTGATAAACAGCACGTGCTGTTACGTTTGATTCTTCCTTCGGCGTAAAAGCTCAGCCCAGCTGTCTTGTTATTTTAGAACTGACCACACTTTCCTGTACAAAGTGTGGTCCTCAGCTCCTACCTCTAGATTTTTGGAAATTCCAACAGAGCTCCTTGACTGTGCCTGGGATTTACGTGGGCCTCCCTCATTGACATCAAAAATGTCTGCAGAGCCTTTGAAATTAAATCTGCAGTGTGAAAATGTGTTTGCCACTCTTTGAGTAATGATTTCTTCCACAAATCAGGAGTTCCTGAAATGTTTGTAGGATGAAGGAATACCCTTTTCATTAAAAAGAATCAAAAGACAGCTTGGTTGCAAGGGAGTTCCCTTCTGTTCTCTAGAAAACTATAAAGGAGCTCCCTGGAGAACCCTTCCTGGCTCTGTGTGTTGTTGCTGTGCCTGTCTCCTCCATCCTTCTTCTTGACTGTTGTGAGCGTTCACAGGGCTTCCTGTGCATCTCAGGTGGTCTTGTGAGTCTCCAGTGAGAAGAAGCCCCATTTGGAGGATTACTTAACTCAATGGGTTACTCAGGAGTCCAGTATCTGCTTGCATAAATGAAATGCTAATCCCATAATAAATGTTCTTTCAAGGGTTCTTTATTAAGGCGTAATGTGATCATGGTGTGAATGATGGAATGCATTTCATTAGTGAAATCATTACCACCCGGGAGAGGAGTTGTTTAAAAAATGGTTTGCTGTTGAAAGCTCTGCAACCTCTGATAACCAGACTCATTTTCTAAAATTAAGCCAAGAAGGGGGGAGGGTGAGACGTCCTTTAGGGTTAACTGTTGAGTTCAAAAATCACTCCAGAAAATGAATTTCTCATGGAGCTCTTCATATCCTGAACATCAGGTGGGTAATCAGAGGCCGCACCTCCGCCCAAGCTCTCAGCTTCTTAGCTGCACGGCCCTGAACGGGTCACGGAAACTTGGATTTCAGCTGCTGGTTGTGAAAACTGAGGGGCTGGGATCTGTGGTCTCCGAGTTCCATTCTAATTTTAAAATTAGAAAATTAAGTAACTCCATTCATTCTAGTTATTAGAAGCCCTGTGGGCTGCTCAACATGTCCCACACATTCAGTGCCGACTGGGTGGGGGAGGATGTGGGAGAGGGTGGGTAACCTTTGGTCATCCCTGAGACACATCCTCCCCAAACCTGCCTGCCTTTCCGTTCGACTTTTGTTTGCTTTTTGAAATCGCCCTCATTCATGTCTAAGGAGAGCCCTTTTCTGTCTACCACTCAGGGATTTGGGCACGTTCTATCTGGTCATGTATAGCAGGGGGCTATACAGTCATCTCTTCCCTTAGGGTTTGCTGCCAGCTGTTGCTAAAACATCAACACATGCTAGGGTAATGCCAGACTCTGGGTCAGAAGGGGTGGTGGAGCTGTTCCCTCCCCCCTCCCTCCCTCTCCCTCTCCCTTCCCTCTCCCTTCCCTCTCCCTTTCCCACCCCCTTTCCCACCCCTCCTTCCCTCCCCTCTTCCTTCTCCCTCCTTCTCCCTTCCCCCTCACCTTCCCTCCCCTCTCCCTCCCTCCTCCCTCCCTCTTCCCTCCTCCCTCCCTCTTCCCTCCTCCCTCCCTCCTTCCCTCCCCTCCTCCCCTCCCCCCTCCTCCCTCCCTTCTTCCCTCCCTCTCCCTCCTCCCTCCCTCCCTCCATTCCTCTATCCTTCCCTCTTCCTCCCCCTCCCTTCCCTCTCCCTCCCTCCCTCCCCCTCCCTTCCTCCTTCCTTCTCCACTCCCCCCCCCCTTTCCACAGCATCCCGTCTGGTGTCCCTTGGTTGTAGGTCTCATGTGGACAAAGTCAGTCCCATTTGGCAGTGTCTCTCCAAGAGCCAGCTTGCCATGGGGCACTTAGTGAGTGCTCTCAACACTGCTCTGTGAAACCGGTAAACAATACCACATGGCAGGCACCACAGCAGGTCAGGGGCTCAAGATGATCAGTTAGATGGCAGAGTGCAGCATGGGCTCTGGAACTGCTCAGAAGAGAGCTCAAGACCTCACTCAGACATGTATCAAAGAATTTCAGAAACACCCTCCTCAGGTCTCAGTTTTACCATCTGTAAAATGGGTATAGTAAGGATACCCAGCTGCTGACTTGGAAGATTCAAT